AGTAAGGGAGAGAGAGTGATTAAGAGCCAGACGTGACAAGGGTGTGAACTAGTGCCGAGCCAGGGATGAACTGAAGGGCTGGGATCAGCTGGGGTAGGATCGACAAGGTGTCGGTCAATAGCCGGGTGATGGGTGTAAATTCTGCAAAGTGAGGGAGGCAGAAGGAGACCTGGATTACAACCAGGTGGAGTCAGAAATCGGAGCGTTAGTGAAAGGACGAAAGGAAAGCGAGCTTAGAGCTGGGCGTTAATAGGACACTTGAGGGAGAAAAAGAAAAGCTGAGCGGACGCTAGAAGCACGGTTTTAGGAGTGATGGTGCTCTGGGACAGGGAACCTGGGGACATTGGAGGGCTTCAGCAAGGACTGGCTGAAAAACAGCCTGAGAAGATGAGCAAGGAAGAGATGGGCCCTGGAATTTAGAGGATGGAATGGGGAGTAAGGAACAAGAAACGAGATTAAGGGAAGCCGGGAGAGTCCTGATGGGTGTCGAACTGGGGTGGTTGCACAGGAGTGGGAGCTGAATGCTCATTTTGCTCTGAGGTGCCCCAGAAGGTCTGGAAGGGGCAGGGCACAAATGCTGTAGTGAAGAATCCAGTGTAGGGGCCTTTGGTGCAGAAGATAAGGAACCATGGTGAGTGAAAGGGGCCCTCAAAACAAGGGTAAAACCTAGGGGCCCAGGTGGGGTGCAGCACAGGAGTTCTTTGTTAAGAGAAATGTGTACTGAAATTGTGACTCCTTTTGTCCCTAAAAGTAGGAAATTCCAGAACCCTTTTCTCTCTTCAAGGAGTCTTGGATCCAGTTTCCATCTTTCATTGCTTGAAAATCCACTCTCTTGGCCACTTTGAAAAGATGGAACCCATTTTTACTTGATTTTGTTCTTGTGTAATAGAAAAATAGCAGCCTTTGGTGCTTAAGACCTTGTAATTTTACTACCGTGCTAAAGGGTAAAGGGCTATGATGATTTCCAATGTGCCTGTGTGCTGGGGTAGTTAGGGTGGGTCTCATCACAGCGTTTTCTTTCCACTGAAGAGTGAACCACTGCGATAGAGACAGACAGGACTCTTGTTGTTTTCATTGTTCACCCAGATTTCTCCTTAGTTGTCTTCAGGGGCTCAAGAATAAGGAGAAACCATTCAGGGAAAGGTGAATAACCAACCAGAGAACTGTGCTAGGGCGGATGGAGTTCCTAAGCTGCTCTCAGCTTTGTGTAGAACATTTTTGTAGAGTTGCTTACTCCTCAGTTTTGCAGACTGTGAGAAAGAAAGGTGGAGTGGGGAGTTGTGGAGAGCTTTAGAGCTGTGGACTCATCTTTCAGATTACATAATGCATTTATGAATGTCTCTTATGAAAAACTTTTGTAAGGTAAGATTGCCATCCCTCTGCCTGCTGTATTTTATGATTGTGACTAGAAAGGGCATATTAATATTTAGAGCCTTTTGGTTTTTAAGACTTATTTTAAATTAAAATATTTACATTTACTTATTTATATGTATGTGGGGCACATGTGGTTGGAGACAACTTGCAGAAGTTGGTTCTTTACATCATGGGGGTACTGGGGATTGAACTCAGATTGTCTGTTTTGGCAGCAAACTCCTTTACCCAATAAGCCATCTCCCTTGCCCTACAAGACCATTTTGGAGATTAAAAGGAAGATTAGAATTTTGGGGCAAAATTTAGTTTATTCTTTCTTCGTAGAAGTTTTTAATGATTTTCATTCTAAAATGTTTACATTTCGCTAAGAATATTGATGAATATTTACTTTGCATTTGATAGTGTGAAAGACAGTGTATGATTTCCTATAAGAGGGACAGAGGGTACAACTATTCTTGAGAATCTTGTTTGAAATTTAATTTTATGTATATGGGTGCTCTGTTTGCATGCATGTATATCTGTGCCTGCAGAGGGACACTGCAGAAGAGGGAATCAGATCCCCAGGAACTGGAGCTACAGACAGTTGTGAGCTGTGTGGGTTCTTGGTCTTCTGGGAAGATCAGTCAGTGCTCTTAACCACTGAGCCGTCTTTCTAGTGTTGAGTTTATTTCATTGGTGTACATTCAGAGCCACAGTGATGCCTTTTCTCCCTGAAGTCCTGTAGAGGTTGCAAGTGTTGCTGATGGTGGAGCACTTGTCTCTCATGTGCAAGGGCTTGAGTTGGCCCTCAGCTTGGCAAGCCAGACTGCAAACCTCAACAACCCTTATTTTAGGGACTCGGGATGTAGCTCAGTTGGTAGAGTGCTTGCCTAATATTCATGAAGACCTGGGTTTAATTCCCTAGCACTGTATGGTCGTGCGTGGCTGTCATCCTAGCACTCCCAAGGTAGCAGGGGTCAGCCTTGCTTACATGAGTAGTATAAGGCCAGCCTGAGTTACATGAGACTCTGAAACAAACAAACACATGTAAGGAGAGGGAAATACTCAACTCTAGGATTAGCACTGTCTCTAAAAAGAAAAGCCTAGCCCACTTTTCCAAAGCTGTGTGACTTTAGATTGCTCTTACTTGGTGGACATTTACATAAGTAGCAGAAGATAAGTTTCTGGCATTAATAAGGGTTAGCAAAGTTTGCTTTTGATTTGTGGATATCAGAAATGTCACATACATATATTTGGATATTTTAGAATCTGAACTCTGGGCTACCTTTTAGCTCTGCTAAGGGCAAGCTTATAGTGGTTTATTTTCTGGATTATTCTAGGCAGATTCAGGGTAGGTAGATTTATTTAGCAACTTATAGAAGAAATTTAATTACAAATATTTGCTTCTTAATTTGAGACTAGTCTGGAAATAATAACTTTGAAAATGAAGTGTGACTTTACTATGAGATATCTGTTTCTGCAAGGTGTGTGCACATGCCTTTGTAGCTGTGCTTGGGCTGGCTAGACTCTATTTAAGATATTGCCATTTTATGATGCATTTTTCAAAAGGTGATCTGTTTATCTGGCTGTCTGGAAATGAAACTACAAACTCTGTCAAAAGAATGAGCTTATTTGAGTGCTTATTTTGTTTCTGTTACACTGCTACAATGTGCTAAACCATTGTTGCTGTGAATGATTGTTTCTCAGTGAGCTCCTCTCTCCTTTTCTTTTCTCTTTCGTTTGTCCTACATCCTTCCTTTTTGCTTCTTCTGTGCTTGGAGTGCACTCTGGAGCATCACACATGCCGACCACACTCTCAGTCCTCAGTTCATATTTCTAAAACTGTTTATGAGACCCTGGTCTCACTATGTAGCCCTGGCTGGCCTGGAACTTGCTATGTCGACTAGACCAGGATGGCCTTTTTTTGGTTTTTCAAGACAGGGTTTTTCTTAGTAACAGTCCTGGCTGTCCTAGAACTCATTCTGTAGACCAAGCTGGACTCGAACTCACAGAGATCCACCTGCCTCTGCTTCTCAAATGCTGGGATTAAAGGTGTGTGCCACCACTGCCCGGCTCAGGCTGACCTTTAACCCACAGAGATCGGCCTGCTTCTGTTTCTGTTAAGCTGGAATTAAAGAGGTAGGTCACCATACCTGGATGAAAATGGATAATCTTTTAATGCAGACATTATTACTTATTATAAGGACTCCAGTGTTAAATTTAAGCTGTTTTCTTTTGTTCACCAAGTAGAAATATTTTGTTTTGAAACCGGGTCTCCCTATATCCCTGGCTGGCCTGGAACTTACTAATTAGACCAGGCTGACATGAACTCATAGAGATCCACTTTCTACCTCTTCTGTCCTGGTAGTAAAGATGAGCGCTACCACACCTGGCTTGTCTCTAGTTTTCTGTGTTTGTTTTGAGATATGACCTCACACTGTAGCCCGGACTGTTGAAACTGACTATGTAGTCTAACCTAGGCTTAAAGTTGTGGCGAACCTCTTGCCTAGTCTCTGAGTGCTAGGATTATAGGCACTGGCTACCATACCCAGGTGTCAATGGAACGTCACTTTTATTTTGGTTATTATTTTATTTGCTAAGTATAAAACTTACTTATATTTCTAGATTAGGATGAGTAGGTTGTACATAATTTTTTTTTCTGGTTAATCTTAGAGTCTTTGGATGGGAAGAGACGTTGAAAGGATCTTGGGTTTATCCTGCAGCTTCAGTCAATATCCCACCTAAGTCATCCCAGGTAGATAAAACTCACCCTCTTTTCTTAGAAATCTTCAGTGGCAAGATTACCTTGTAGATAATCTCTTCTAGCATGTTATTATTTTCAGGAAGTCTTTTTTTTCTGATCAGCACACACTTAATGCTATATTTCTATTTATTTATTCTTGCCTTGCCAACAATCTTTTACTAGAAAAAAAGTGTCTGCTTATTGTGGTATTTATAAAAGCTCTAGCTAGTGTGGTAACCCATGCCTGAAATTCCTGCATTCAAGAGGTTGAGGCAGGAGGATTTCCAGGCTAGTCTATGCTATAAGGTGAGACATTGTCTCAAAAAACAAATAAGCAAGCAGACAAACAGAGAGTGAAAACCTTACTTCCTCACTGGCAACGGAAGGTGTCTGTGAGGTGTCTGCATGACTCTCTAGTGCCAGATTCTGCTGTAAGTCATCTCACAGTGACCTTGAGGCAGGGGTCTGTTACTGTGTTGGGATGAAGTGACCTGCCTATTTGGTCGCTATAGTCTTTCAGCACAAATACTGTTTCTGTCAGTTGTTAACCCAGTGATACATTTACTCTTTCATTTCTGATGGCGGTCATTGCACCCACTGCTTCATGTACACTAAGATTATGCTCTACCACAGATACCCCTCAGCCCCTCAATCGTGTGTGTGTGTGTGTGAATGAGTGAGTGTGTGATCTTCTGAAATCTGTTAGGAAACAACTCCCTTATTCTTTAGATAGGGCTTCATATAGCTCAGATTGGCCTAGAATCTGGAACTATATGTATATGGGAAAGGATAACTTTTAATTCTTTGTTGTTGTGTTTTGTTTTTTTTTTTCAGACAGGGTTTCTTTGTGTAGCTCTGATTGTTCTAGAACTCACTCACTCTCTAGACCAGGCTGACCTTAGAGACTCACATGCCTCTGCCTCCCCAGGGATTGAAGACCCCTGGCTGACCTTGAATTCTTAGCCTCTTGCTTCAGTTCTGGGTTCCAGGTACTTGCTGCCACATGCCACCCTCCTCTGTTTCTTTGTAAGTGGTGAACCTAGGACCAACACCCCAAGGGTGCCGTCTAATACACATATTACATCAAGGTTCTCCTGTGCGTTTATGTATTTTTTATTCCAAAATTGTTTTTACAAAACCAAAAACCCCAAACCAATTTCATAGCACCTTACTGTGTTGCAAATTGCCTGTCTACTTTTGAAGTTGGAAAAATATTTTATACTCAGTTGAAAGATCATTGCTATGTGAGGAAAAATGGAAGTTATGCTTCAGTGCAGATATCCATAAGTAAAAATCTGTTCAGAATATTGCTATTTTATTTTCTTCTTTATTTTCCTTTTATGTGTGCCTGTCTAAGAAATGTACCAAATACTCTGCTTTCATTTGGTGAAGTAAATTAATTTACTCACTAAAATTAAAAATGTAACTTGCTGAGTTTGGTGGCTCATACTTGCAATTTCAGCACTGGGGAGGCTGAAGCAGGATTAACCCCAAGTTTGAGACCAGCCTAGAATAGATAAGTTCTAGCTCAGCTTGGGCTGCAAAATGGCCCTTTTCAAACAGACAAAAAGCAAACTAAATTATTTAGGGTTAACCTTAGGTAAACATGAAAATTGTAACCGGAAGCAGGGGGCTTCCATTAGTGGCTGGCCTGAACCCACGGAGATGGCTGTCCCAGCCTCCTACCTGCTGAAGTTTAAGGCGTTTGGTGTAGCAGTAACTTGCCTTGGACTCTTGAACCTCCTGCCTCCAGTCATACAGTCTAGGGGTATTGAAATTATACAGTCCAGGGGTCTGGATTGGAGTCATTTTCTCTGCAAGTTAAAAAATAACGAGACAGGAACAATATAAAGCATAAAAGGTTAACACTAGGGAAATCTCAAGCACCACAGTTAAAAAAAAAAAAAAAGACACGAGGGCCTCAAAGCTGGAGTCCAGCTGTCCTTAGGGCTGAGAGTTCTAAAGCTGTGGAAGAGTTTCCCTTGCCTACTAGGGGTTGGTCAGTTTGAAGACAGATGGGATGATGGTTGATTTGTCTGCAATTGTTGTGTGACATGTTCTAATATGGCCTTCAACTTATTGAGCCAGTCCAGCAGGGACCTGCTAGTAGAAGACAAAAGTCTGAAGGATGAGGAAGGAGCTGCCATCTTGGAAACTTACACCTCTATTACCTAACCTATGGCCCCTCTGTCTTGTCTATCACAGAGTCTAACTCCTGGTCTCTCACTACCATGACCTGAAAAACTTTTTTTTTTTTTTGTGATGAGTATGGATTTTATTACGATTTTTCAATCTTGAGGAAAGTTACAGAAATGATACACAGATTTTATATGCCTTTTCTCAAAATCACTAGTTGTTTTCATTTCACCTGACTTGCGTTATCATTTTTCTATATATTTTTAAACAAATAAAATAGAAAATTAATATGAACATATTCATTTAAAAAAGGAAAGGGAGAGGACTGTTGAGATGGCTCAGTGATTAAGAGTACTTACTCCTCTTACAGAGGATCTGAATTCAATTCCCAGCACTCATGCTGGGTGGTCTTTACTGCTTGTAATTTCAGCTTCAGCTTCAGGGGCATCTAACACCTCTGGTCTCCAAGGGTACCTGCAGTCAGATGCGCACATCCACACACATAGGCATAAAAATAAATAAAACTTGGCTTTCGGGGGGCGGGGCACTTAGCGATGACTCATTGATTAGGAGCACTTGATGCTCTTGGAGAGAACCCTGGTTTGGTTCTCAGCATGCACATGGCAGGTCACAATTGCCTATAACTCCAGATCCAGGGATCCTATGACTTGTTATGGTTTCCAGCATCACCAGGCTTGCATGTAGTGTACACATATACATAGAGGCAAACACACTCATGCACATAAAATATTAAAATAGAGGCCAGGTGTGGTGGCCCAATCTGGAGGCAGAGGCAGGAAGATCTCTGAGTTTGAGACCAACTTGGTCTATATAATAATTTCCAGGACAGCCAGGGCTATATAGAGACCCTGTCTCAATAAATAATATATTGGGAATAAGTGAAAGGGAATAAGTTTGGTATATATTTTATTTTAGTCAAAGCCTTTAAGGTAAAGTAACGTCAGGATGGAATTTAGAAGTCAGAGATATTGGTGCAAAGCCTGGAATCCCAGCACTCAGATTGGGGCATAAGGGTTATCATAAATTCCGGGTCAGCATGGGCTACATTATTTCAGTCCAGCTTGGGCTAACAGTGAGACCTTTTCTCAAGAAACTTAAATAAATAAATATTAGGAGGGTTTTGTAAGGTTATACAGTGTGCGTTAGTAGATGCTGGGAAAAATTCTGTCACCTGTTAATGCCAGATGTGTAGGCCCTGTTATTAACAAAAAATTGTGTTGTCAAATGCTTTTCTGTTGGGAACTTGTTGGAAATCACATCCTTAGAATGTGGTAGCTGCTAATATGCATGATGATTGTGTGAGAATCAGGGCTGGAGTTTTTGGTTTGTTTTATGTTGTTGTTTGTTTGTTTGTTTTTCAAGATAAGGTTTCTCTGTGAAACAGTCCTGGCTGTGCTGGAACTCACTCTGTAGACCAGACTGATCTCAAATTTATAGAGATCCGCGTGCCTCTGCCTCCTGAATGCTGAGAATAAAGGCTGTTAAGCCATACATGAAGTATTTGAGATGAAATTCCTACCTTGGAGATCTTTATGCAGCTTCAAGGAGCTAAAAAGAACCAATGTACACAAGGTTCTACTTCTGAAATATTGACTGGGATTCATACAAATAGGTCTGCCTTACGTGGAGGTGATCCATAAAAATATTAACATGGCCACCATCCCCAAACCTAAATTTTGAGTCTTTTTCATTGTTTTCACTTAAGGAAACGGACTGACCCTATTTCGCCTCCAGTCACCCCCAGTGTCTGAGATGTTAAACGTGTGACTGTAGACAGGCCTGTCTGACTTGAGCCCTAAGCCTAGTAGTTGCCTCCTGACAAATGTGAAACACAGAACTTGTGGGCTTCGTCTCCTTTTCTCCCCTCTTTAAGCTGCTATCAGAGCTATGAAATATAGCTCCTTATAAACGCTGATTGTAATAATTAGAAACACTTCCCTTTCATAAGGACGAGAAAATTACAAATTATTTGGGAAGCATTGTTTCTAGTCATGTGTTATTGTTTCTGAGGCATGGACAGTTTTTAAAGACTATAATACCATTCCTTTTCCATTCACGTGTTAATAGAAGTCTGGGAAGTAAGGGTTCCTCTGAAATGTTCCGGGTTGTTTGTATTATGTGTCAAGTTGTAAACAGCACTCTGTGACAGGTATTTTCTCTCTTTGTCTTCCTTTGAGCTAATTAGTAATTTACACTCTAGTATCATGTCTCCCAGTCTCACTGTGAAAATGCCTCCCGTACAAATGATTAGGGGCAAATGTTGGTTAGCACATCAGAAGAATCAGGGTAAAAATTAATTTTTGCATGTTTTTGGTAGGCTTTTGTACGTGTATGTCTCTCTCTCTTTCCACCATGCCTTCCCTAGATATAAGAATGTTAGGAACTTCTGTAACCCAGAGCTACTGCCCATGGTACAGTTTGATAATTTGTGTGCTGTTTCCCACCCCCACCCCTGTGCTGTGGGATTTGGGGAGGATTAGCACAGCACTCTGCATAGTTTAAAGTCCAGGAAACTGGTCTTTACTGTTCCTGCCCTATTAGAAGAATAGCAGGCTTCCAGCATTGTGTTCAGAAGCTGCCCAACGGTGCTGCTCTAGCAGGGCAGTGACTGCTCTGTGGTGAGAGGGCTGTACAGCTGCTGGTGCCGTAGGAAAAGAAAAACAGTCCTGCCATAGTATCAGCTTTTTCAAAGGCAGCTGAGTGACCAAAATATAAATTACAGCTAAGTTTTAGCTGCGCCACGTCAAGATCCCGCTCTTTCTAGCTTCTGCTCTCTTTCTTCCTCCAGTCTCTGACATGGGGAGTATGTGTAGAGTCATCTGTATGTGTTCACTTGATAGGCCCATGTGGGGGTG